ACATACAGGTGGCTGCTGCGTGGCTCCCACATCGACATGTGGTGTCTCCTTCGCCTGTCTCTTCTGGGGAGGAAAAACAAACGGGTTCAATCCCCCCTTCACCCCTCCTTCGACTCGTGTGGGCAACGCAGAGAGGTGTCCCCCCCCCGCCCAGGGCAGCCGGCATCTCTTTGCCTGTCGGCCGCCGGCTACCGGGATGCCGGAGTGCAGCAGCCAGCAGTGAACCCCCCCCCAAGGAGCTGCCTGCAGGGCTGCCCACACTCACGTGCTGCGATCCATTTCGTGGAGGCCACAGACCCTTCTCCGCGCTGGCCAGCCGGGCAGCAGCGGCACGAGGAGAGCGGTGCAGGCTGCAGCCCCTCAGAAGCCCCGCTACATCCTTGGATATTTAACAACTTTTTCAAACTGCTCCAAATTCACTTCTCCTAAGCAACACGTGGCAATTTTGCAGAGGAAGCGATGTGTCAGGCCAGCTCCGAGCTGCTCAGAGCCGTCACCGTGGGTTGACGCTGCCCTGAGACCGCAGAGGGGAACGTGAAGCTCCCCAGCAAAAGCAAGGCACGAGCCCAGGGCTGAGATGCCCCAGACCCCCTGTCACCTCAGCAGCCCCGACACAGAGAAGCTCAACAGGGCTGTCAATGCCCTTCACCCCCACCGACTGCAGGCAGCTGGGGACATTTGAGGCTTTATCCTTTGTAGCAGCACAGAAAAGATTCAGATACGCACAGCTCCAAGCAAACAGCCGCGAGCATACGCAAATGTGCATGCAGTGATTTACAGGCTTTGCTTTTTGCAAACGCCATGTGTGTGCGCAGGACGTGCAAGCAAATATACTCCAACCACACGGGACCAAGCACCCCGCACGCACGCAGAGCTCACGCAGGCGAGACGGGGTGCATCTCGCTGCCGTCCTGCGAGTGCAGCGATACCCTCAGCCCCTGGGTGAGTCACGCTGGTGATTGCCTCCTTACGGCTTCGTGCACGGGAACAGCCCGGTGCCACGCTCAAGGAAGAGATTGAATTGCACAGCCGAGCTGTGCGGGCAGGACCTGCAGGCAGGGATCTGCTGCCATCCCCGCAGCAAGTGGCCGAGCCTTCAAAACGCATCCACGCACCACGTTAGGCACCAACACATGACAGCATCCGCATGCGTCCATCTGGCCACCCACTCGTCAAACAGCCCCGAGCCATCTGCACCAACGGCGCCCATGTACAAATACAATACTCCGATCGGCACCGCAGCCGCCCACGCCAACCTGGCCACGTGGGAGCACCCATCCCCGAGTGCCACCGGACCTCTCCGCAGGCAGGAAGGCGTGTACCAAACCTGCCTGCGCTGGGTACCCACATAGAAATGAAGCCATCTGTGTCTGCCCAAACGCAGAGATCGGCTCAGCTTCACCGTCCCGAGTTTCCGACAGCCCTTTGGTACCGGCTCTGCTCTGGCTTGTCTCTTGCTACGATGTCCCCACCGGCCCTCCCCGGCTGCTGGCATCAGCGTTGCACCGCTGAAGGCACATCAGACCTGATGCTGGAGAGGGTTGCCCCCACGGGATCGCACCCCCTTCCTGCCCCTGACACTATCCATCCTGATGAGGGGGAGGAGCTGGAAAAGAGATCTGCAAGTATCGATACCTCCCGTTTCAATGCCACTAGAACAACAACAAACGGTTAAAGGGATCTGTTTTCCTAACCAGCTATATCTGAGAATGGCTAGAAAACTCTAGCAGGGATGTGCAGAGTGGGCAAATCTTTTAGTGCCCTAATATAGTCCATCTCTCCCTCCTCTTCTCTCCTATTTGTCCATCCTCCAGCCTCTTCTGCTGCCTATATCGCTTTATTCCCTCGCTTTATCCGACACATTCCCACTGGTAGCCAGAGACGGTCATTACACACAGACTCTGCCATCTCTCCCGTAAACCACCCCCCCGATACTTGGCCAGGCACAGATTTATTATGAACATCCCATCACCCCCAAACCAGGGCGATATCTGCGGCTGCTGGGAGACCAGGCAGGGCTTACAAGTACCCCCAGCTCCTGCCGCCCCTAAAACCACGGGCGATGCATGCGGGATGGGGGACCATCGCATCCCACCGCTGCCAAGCCAGGGAGCTGGGGCTGTTCCCAACGCTGCCTCCGACCCCCCCAGATCAGTGCTCGCCTGAAGACAGCGGTTTCTCTCAGCAAATCTGCAAGAGATTCTGCCGTGTACGAGCTTGGCTGGATTTCAAAGCATAACGAAACCTAAAATTCCCTGGGAAGGGATTCTATAAAAAAAGAAAAAAAAAAAAAAAAAAATCCTTTCAGCCGTACTGAAATGTACTGTTTTGGGAAACAAATCAAAAACGCCTCTTTCCAATGTTGACTTTGAAAGTTTTATGTGATTTAGACCATATGACACTGCAAAATAAAGGGAAAAAAGGCGTCTAGAAAGGAAAAAACAGATTTTTTTTCTGCTGAAACACAGAGACAAGGCTCCTTAACACCATGCCGGGGGTTTATGTGGTTTGGGGCTTTTTTTTCTTGCCCAAATCAAATTTCTGTACAATCAAACGCGGGTTCACAAACCTGCTCCATCTCTCCTAACTGCGTTTGCTACCAGGGAAGGAACCCGAGGGAGATTTGTGACACCCCTGCTCCCTTCTCCCCCAGCCCTGGCTGCAATGCCGCAGCTCCGCCACGAAGAAAAGCTCCCCGGGAACAAATATCACCCCTCCTCAAGAAAAAACAGAGATACCTTCCTCCTCCCCAGCCTCTTTCCCCACCCCTAGCAGCAGTCCTGAGTGTTTGAGTTGTACATTTGGGGCAGAAAGCCTCTTTTAGCGGATTTCTGCCATGCCCAAGCTCTGAGGCTGCAGGGGTGAGCTGGTCCCCGCTCCGACACCTCTCCGCAGGCACCGCTGCTCTAGGAGCACGCTCCTGGATCTTCATCCATCCTCAGGAAGACACCCCGAGAGGGAGTCACCCCAAGAGGGAGTCACCCCGTGCGGGGACCCCTTTTTATTGCGGCAGCCCCGCAAGCAGCTGTGCCGGGCTCCGCTTCAGCCCTCCCCGGTGCTGACCGGTGGGCTTGGGGGGGTACCGGGATAGCGGTTGGGGGGGGGTCACTCACTCGATAGCAGGCATGTTTGGGGCAGACATGGGGCTGACTTCTTTGGCTTTCTGAAGGGCGTGCTTCTGGTTAAAGGCCTCCTCTTCCTCCTGCTCATCCTGCGGAGGAAAGAGGGGAGTTGCTTAGTGGGATGCTGGGGTTTCAAGGGAAGGCTGGGGTTTCAAGTGGGATGGGGGGGTTTCAAGGCTTCGGAGGCAGCGAAGGATGCAGGGGGCTGCCTTAGGTGCCAAGGCGTGTGGGAGAAAAGGGGTGCAGGCACCTGTATTTCCAGAGACAGCCTTTATTTTATGATGGGGACGCAACTTCCCCACTACGCCAGATCTTACACCAGCCGTTATTTATGATGGGGACGCAACTTCCCCACTACGCCAGATCTTACTGAAGGTGTCAGCGCTACTTAAATTAAGTGAACCCAGCCCACTCCAGGCTGTGCACGCTAGAACAGCCCCAGACGGCGTAGACCAGCTCAGCCCTCCCTTCTTCACAGCCACGGGGCGAGACAGGCATCCCCCCGATGGCGTGGGTGGCAAGGCATCCATGAATGACCCCTGGGAGGCAAGGCATCCATGAATGACCCCGGCAGAGCCCGTATTGCTTTAATGAGTACGGTTGTGTCTCTGGAGCAAAAAATGTCATTAGGAGTCATTAGCACGCACTCAGCCTTTTCAAAAACTCAGCGCTCCCTTAATTGATGCCGCTGGTACGCTGCGGGGCTCTCCCACTCCTCTCACCCCAGCGGCAGGCGGCAGCCCCTCGAAGTGGCAACCCCGGAGGACAGGGACCCCCGCACACACCCTTCAGGCAAACAAGCACCATGCCCCATTTCGTTTGCTGCTGGCGGGTCAGATTTACCCCAGCGTGGAAGCCTCTCAAGTAAGCCCCAAGGACCTGGTAATAGGCGGGGGCTCTGCAATAAAACAGGCACCGTAGGATGGCTGACCCCCTCCAAAGGGCAGCAACGACCCTTGCAGCTCTCGCCTACTCACCGTTATCCAGATGGTGCCCCAATATTTTAGCATTCCCCAAATATTTCCCAGCATGGTCTTAAAACCAGCTAAGCCCAATAACCTTCTCGAGCACCATCCTAAATTGCACCCTAAATCACATCCACTGCCCTGCGGGCAGATGGCGAATAAATACTGACACTGGGAAAGCGCTTCCCGCTCCGCATCTCCGGAGTGCTTGGGCAAATAACCCTCCCCACAGCAGACAGATGAGGATTATCTTGATCTGACCGGACTGACAAAACTGGGGAGCTTAAATGGAGAAATAGTTAAGCCACACTCGATAGGAACTGTGGGTGCTCCTGGAGAGACATGAGACCAGTGGGTTTAAGCACTTTCCTAAATCAAAGCCTAAAGGGCTTTGCCCAGCGATACGGGTTTGCGTTTCAGTGGAGCACCCTGCGTACCCTTCCTGGAGGAAGAGCCCCACTTCCATTTTGACCTGACCTCTGTCCAAAGCAGGCTGAGCTAAAGGACAAGGTGGCCCCAGCTCTGGAGCGAGGACAGTCACAGGCAGTGCTCCTGGTGCTTTTCCTGCCGGCCCTCTCCTTCACTCTCTTCACACCAGCAAGAGAAGAAAAACGAGCAACTGGAACGTACCTTGGTGAGCTCCTGAGCATTGGCCAGGTTGTCCACCGCAATAGCTAAGAACACATTCAGCAGAGTATCTGCGAGCAGCTAAGGATGCACAAGGCACGTGTTAAGGACATGGGTGTCTGCAGCCACCAAGGGAGGGTGGCCCTGACGGCTCCTCACCAGCCCAGTGAGGGACAGCCAGAGGGACAAACTCCTCACCCATCCCATATATACAGCCCTCAGTGCACCTCCAGACAGCTCCTTCTCTGCATTTGGGATATCCAGGACTGCTGCATGTGTGATGGGACTCCCTCAATTGGGAGAGGAGGAAGGAGCAGTGGGTGGGGAGGTGGGTGCCCCCAGAAGAGGGAGATGAGATGGGGTTGTCTCCACTAAAAGCACAGCAGCCAGGTGGATACAGTTTCCAAACAAGGTGAGGACGATGAAATAGATGGAGGACCACATGCCTGAGCGAACGCCTCCCTGGGAGCGGATGCCGTTGTACATCACCTCGTTCCAGTCCTCACCCGTCAGGATCTGCGGGAAAGCAAGCCAGCAGCTCTGTCATCCGCACCTTCTCGTCACCTGGACAGCCCCCTCGATCCGTCCTACCAAGGCGCAGGAGCCAAGTACAGAGACCCTGTGCGGGGGATAACCCAGCTCTACAGCTGCAGCACTTGAGGGAGATGGTGCTGGATACTGCTGAGGATTTAGGTTTCCTCAGAAGAGTTTTGAAACTCTTCCGCCTTCTGTAACAGAGGTGGAAGAGTTTCCATCTCTTGCGATCTGCTTTGTTATAAAGGAGGAGAGGGAGGAAGCGAGTTATATCCTAACAGCTGATAGAGGGGAACTTGTTTGGTTTAAAGAGCCCCTTCCAACCAGGGGGGAGTGAGCAGGTGGTCCCAAGTCCCTTTGATTGTGTCCCCTTGCAGCCCAGCTCCTACCTGGAACACCGTCATGATGGCCGCGGGGAAAGTGTCAAAGTTGGCCGATGGTGTCCCATCGATGAAGTTAAACCTGGAAGCGGAACCGGGAGGATATAAATGGGCTGGAATATCAAGGTCATCAAATCCCTGACTGCTGTGCTATCAGCTCTCTTAGCACACCTCTTAGGTCCTCTTAGGAGGACCTTTCCCCACTCTAAGGAAGGTCTCCTGAGCATTTAGTGCCAGAACCCAAAACGTCTCCCGGCCAGAAGGACCCACACAGCCCAGAGGCACCTGCCCAAGCAGGGACTTTTGTATAGGAGAGGTACCACTGTTAGCAGCGGGCTGAGGGGCAAGGCTACAGTCTTCCTGGGCACCCAGGAGGGTGTCAATACTTTGCTTTAACATCAAGAAATTCCTTTCCCCCAGATTTGAAACAACCTACCTGCCTCCAAACAGCTGCATTCCCAGCAGAGCAAAGACTACAATGAAGAGGAAGAGGAGGAAGAGCAGACTGATAATAGACTTCATGGAGCTCATCAGCGAGACCACCAAATTCCTCAGGGATGCCCAGTACCTAGAAAACAGAGACAGTGGAGTACTTGCAGCGATGCTAACAGGAGAACAGGAGTGACTGGATCTGGGCTGCAGCCACAGTCCAAGCAGAGGGTGACAGGCACGGACGGTTGGTACATACTTGGTTATTTTAAATATTCGCAGAAGACGAAGGGCTCGTAGGACACTGATCCCAAAAGAGGTTCCTGGTCTGAAGATAGCCCAAACCACTTCGAAGATGCTTCCCACTGTGACCTGAGAAGCAGACGTGGCCATGAATCAAAGTCAGGCTCCGGACGGGCTGTTGCAGGAAACCTTCACGTGCCTTAAGACAAGGCACCCATCATCCTGACCAAGACCTGGTGTCTCGGTCTGTCATGGGCAGGCTGTCCCAGCAGAAACAGTTCCCCTGCCCACTGCGAGGGCCATCCCGTTCTTCTCCCCCTTGGTGCCTTGTGCTGCAGACACCTGCCAAACATCTGCCCCCACACCCAGAGCATCTCTGGGGCCTCTTACCCCACAGTCGAAGCAGTTGAAGGAAGAATGGAAGTAAAGGCGTGGCCCCATCCCGTACATCTTTAAGGACATCTCCAGGAGGAAGAGTCCAAGAAACAGGAACTCTGCATAGTCTGAAAGAGAAAATCCAGATGCGCTACCCTTGGGGCACCGAGCTGCGCGGAACATCCTGCATGCGCCCACCTATAGCCCGTATAGCACCCCACAGAGATGGGACAAGTCGAGGACCACGCTGCTTCCCCAAGCTCTCAGGGTTTGGGACGAGGGAAGCTTGTCTGCGAGGAGCTAAATTGTGTATAACAGAGCACCAACCCCACAAGTTAATCTTTCAGGGTAGGTGCAGTGGTGTCCCAGGGGTTTGAGAAGACCAAAGATGGCCAGCATGGAGCAGAGCAGCTCTTTAGCATTATATGACAGTGGTTGAGGCGTCTGCAAAGACATTAACCACATGACACAGTAGGGAAATATTAGCAACCTGGATTTAAATCATTGCACGGCTGGAACTTGGCCAGGGAAACCGAGCTGAACAGCCAAGAGCCAGTGAAAAGCTTCTCCAGCTATTTCTTGAACATTAGCAGGCAAGAGTCTGGCTCTTCACCTTGTCCAAAAGATGCTTCTCACCACGACCAGCTGCCGTACCACACCGTGGCGTGCTGGGATCCCGGCAGGCCTGAGCGTGCTAATGCAAATTTGGGCAGGCCTGGTGCTTGACAGGGACATTTTCAAGGTGAGTAAGAATAACACGGCTGAGAAAGCAGCACTGTCCCTACTGCAGCAGCTCAGGAGTAACACATGGCTGCTGTGGGGTTGACCACGCTGCTCCGCAGTTAGCACCACGCTAGAATAGACATGGGTGTACTGCCTCCGAGACCTGACCTTGTACCGTGGCCCATGGTGGGCTGGGGGATGCTCCAGTAACTGCTTTCAAGCTTGGGATCTCCATGCCGTGCTCTGCACCAAAACTTTAACCAGGAGGTTCTCCCATGACCGGTCCCATCCCGGCAAACTCACGCCTTTCCAGCAACTGCTTGTGGGCATTCAAAGATGGATCTCCAGCAAGCTTTCCATCACCACTGTTCACAATTTTAGGATAAACCCAACTGAGACCTGCAGTCTGTTTCTCTCTCTTGACAAACACATCGGAGGTTTTGCCTGCCCACGCAGTGCTCTCACACCCACACAAAGCCCAGGGACTCACAGAGGAAGTGGGTGAGCCAGGCTGGCTGGTTGTGATGGACGATGGCCACGCAGGCAGTGTTGAGAGCCACCAGGCTCAAGACAATCCAGTAGAAGACCTGGGATTTCACCATGTGGCGAACAGAGATGCGCAGGAGTCGCTCCTTGTGCCGTAAGTAGGAGGCACCATCAACTCTGGCACCTTTGAGGCCAGAGTGACTCAAGGGGTTACCTAAGGGAAAAGAGGGGAGAGAAGGAGTTGGGTGCTCCAGTCAAGGTGAGAGAAGGAGTTGGGTGCTCCAGCCTTCCCTGCAACAGGAGGCAGGACAGACGGCTCACAGACATTGCTTTTATGGGACATGACTTCACCACACAGTTTTTAAATGGTACAGGGGGCAGCGGGTGGTTTGCCCCCTTTGCTGTCAAACGAGCAGCAGATCTGTGACTATCTCCACGTGGTAGGCGCAACCCCCGCAACTCAATAAACTAGCAGAGGTTTTGGGGAGGAAAGCTCCAAACTGCACTAACCCAAGGTTGGATGAAGAGGTCTTCTTTGTGCCAGCCTCCGCTCGCCCACGGAGGAGATATCGACGCAGTGCTCGTCGCTTGAGTCGCGGTTCATGGCATCCGTCCGGTTCCTTTTGATGGTGGCTCGCCTGAGCACTGGGAAGGGAAGAAGAAGGGGTGTTGGTGGCCCAACTCTGCCAGTAGCCAGCTCGTTGGATCATGACTTGGTGATCTATACTTGGTTAACTCAGGTCTGGTAACAGGACGGAGATACCCAGGTTACCGTAGTCCAGAGCTATCCCCGTGTGGGACCAGACATCTCCTGGCCTCCATGCTCTCTTAGGGGTTATGCTGTCAATCCATTTCCCCACACCCCTCTCTCAGGCCACAGACCCCACAGGGGCATCCCCAAACCTCCCTCCTCTCATCGTAGCTAGAGGGTTTCAACCTTCAGCTGCGGGCAGGCAGAAGGAAAGGCAAGGCAGGTGCTTAGGCAGGGCATTGCTTGTCTTACCTTCTAAGGCTGAGGTCCCAGCATTTTTGTTCTCTTCAGCCAGCATGACTTCCTCTATGCAAAACACAGAGTTCAGCATCAGGAGACGAGACACAGTTGGCTGAGGGCATCAGACCTCACTGCCTTGTACCTAAGCACTCTGCCCAGCCCGATGGCTGCTCTAGGTTGCAAACTCTTGTCAAGTATTGGTTAAGTGTGCAAAAGCAAATTCTGGAGGGTGGCAAGTGGCAACTACCACACGTTGCATCAGAAAGAAAAATTACTTGTAATCAACCCTTTTTCCTCCAATGTCGTTAACCCCGCTAAAGCAGTTGAACATTGTGGACAGGTCTGGGATTCAACATCCCAACCCAAAGCTGAGGTCTGGGGCTCAGGCCTCGTTTCAAGTTACCATCCTTTTTCCAGTCTGAACGCTAGATGAAAGTGTAAATCTTCCCTTCCCAGAGCTGAACACACTGAACAGATCCCCACGAGGTGCAAGCAAGGACGGGGGCTGTGGCAGTTCGGTGACCAGGACCCACAGGCTGTTGCGCATGGCTGGGTGTCAGCA